CCGCAGCTCAGGGAGCTGGGATGTCTTCCCTGAGGCTGCCCAGTGGGAAAGGTTCCTGGTACCCGGGTGGCTCAGCAGCCTCTGTCTCATTTTCCCTTGTTGTTCATCACTAAGTCATGTCCGACTCTGTGACCGCATGGACGGCAGCACACCAGGCTTCCCTGTCCTTCACCATCTCCCTGAGCTTGCTCAAACTCATGTCCATTGAGTCGGTGATGCCATCCAACCATCTCATCCTCTGTCGTCCCCTTCTCCTCCTGCCCTCAGTCTTTCCCAGCATCAGGGTTTTTTCCAGTGAATCAGTTCTTCACATCAGGTGGCCAAAGTATTGGAGTTTCAGCTTCAGCATCAGTCCTTCCAATGAATATTCAGGACTGATCTCCTTTAGGACTGACTGGTTGGATCTCCCTGCAGTCCAAGGGACTCTCAAGTCTTCTCCAATTCCACAGTTCAAAAGCATCAATTTTTTGATGCTCAGCCTTCTTTAGGGTCCAGCTCTCACATCTGTACATGGAAAACCACAGCTTTCACTAGACAGATCTTTGTCAGCAAAATGATATCTCTGTTTTTTAATATGCTGCCTAGGTTAGTCATAGCTTTTCTTCCAAGGAGCATGCATCTTTTAATTTCACGGCTGCAGTCACCATCCTCAATGATTTTGGAGCCGAGAAAAAAAAAGTCGGTCTCTGTTTCCATTGTTTCCCCATCTCTTTGCCATGAAGCGATGGGACCGGATGCCATGATCTTAGTTTTTTGAATGTTGAGATTCAAGCCTCCTTTTTCACTCTCCTCTTTCACTTTCATCAAGAGCTTCTTCTTCTCCTCTGCAATAAGGGTGGTGTCATCTGTGTATCTGAGGTTGTTGACATTTCTCCTGGCAATCATGACGGCAACTTGTGCTTCATCCAGCCTGGCAATTCACATGATGTACCAGTTTCTCTGGGGATGATTAATTTAAACTCTCCAGTCTGGGAGCAGCAGGGTAGCTCACCATTTCACTGTCCTGTACTGATTATTCTTTAGGGGAAACTGATGGGACCCTCCACACAGAGCAAGCACATATGGATTTACATGTGTGTACAGACGCACAATGAAACTGCATTTTCCTCTCCCTCTGCTCCATCCTCTCCCTCTGAACCTATGTATACCAGTCTGTGTATACCTGTGTATGCCAGTCTTCTTGGTAGAAGGCACTGGATGTATGAGATACCAGACAAGTAAAATATATAAACCTGTCAGAAATCCTATCTTCCAGAAGAACTGGTGGCTTAATTAGTGGCTTAATAAGGGCAAAATTCTATTAAATTTTGAAGAAACTGCTTTACCACTATTTGAAATCATTACGTGCGCTGTGCTTAGTCATTTAGTCGTGTCCGAATCTTCGTGACCCGATGGACTGTAGCCTACCAGGCTCCTCTGTCCATGGGATTCTCCAAGCAAGAATCCTGGAGTGGGTTGCCATGCCCTCCTACAGGGGTTCTTCCCAACCCAGGGATCGAACCCAGACCTCCCACATTGCAAGCAGATTCTTTACCATCTGAGCCCCAGGGAAGCCCTGAAATCATTATACTGCAGGTAAAATGTGCTGCTTAAAATGCTAAGAGAATGCTGTCCTGCACTGTCTTGCGAGTGCTTAGACCCTGACGGAGGCAGGCTCCCGGCTGCGGCACTAACACAGCCCCACCCCAGTCTTGCCTTTGCGCGGATCTGGGGCCTACACCCGACCCTGCCGTGGCTCAGCCTCGCTCCGGGCCAGCGCCGTGGGTGCGCCCTGAGTCAGGAAGAACATGGACAGCCTGGGGACGCTGGGGGCCCAGGTGACCTGCCCTGCTCTGTCTGTGAGCAGCTCCTCTCTTTCTCTCAGTGAGCTCTGTGTCTGACCACTCTGTCTCCTTGCGTACAATGACCAAACCCTGTGCTGAAGATGACAAGTCCCACATGGAGGGACAGACAGGACCCGTTCCAGGGGGTGGGAGGGAGAACTCTGAGGGGGAACTGGCCCAGGCACCCTCCTCCTGGAGCTCCCTCAGGTCTTGGGCTCCTCAGTGTGCAGACGCATCAGACCAAGCTCGGCATCTTCATATGGCCTTCCTCCTTCTGGGTCTTTCTAGACTTTTGGAAAGCCCGCCCTTATAGAATTCAAATCAATTAAAAGTCATCAGCCAGGGATACAGTAGCGTTATGCAGCCCTTACGGAAATAACGCATCGGCATTATAGTGAGAGCAGGCAGAAGAAGGGCCCTGCAGCTATTCGCGGAGGAGTCCCGGGGTCGGTGACCTGCCGCAGAGACCAGTGCTTTACCGGTGCAGTGACACTGACCTCGAGATGGGAGGCGCCTGTATTGTCCCGGTGGGCTCAGAGAGACCACGAGGGTCCCAGTAAATGAATGATGGAGGCAGGAAGTCAGAAACGTGGTCAGGAAAGCAGAGGCTGGTGACATCAGGGCTGGAAGGGGCTGCGAGCCATGGGCCGTGGGCGGCCTGCAGAAGCCGAAGAAGGCAGGAAGCAGTTCTCCTGGAGCCTCCGGCAGGGACACAGCCCCACAACACCTGGCTGTGAGCCTGGGAAGCCTATGCAGACTGCTGACCTCGGAGACTGTGAGAAGACAGGTTGGGGGAGGGGGGGTTAGCCTCTAAATTTGTAGTAATTTAACATGGCCAAGGGACACTAACAGCACCACGGACCCTGCGGGCAGTGCCTCCAGTCTGTCTTCGCTTTCTAAACCGCTCCAGCCACGCTTCCCCTGCTCTCCACGCTCACATCTGAGAGTCAGCCTGCGCGCCGTCAGAGCAGTCCGTGAGTGTGAGCAGGAACGCATCAAATCTGCAGAGCACTTTAGGGGAGAGGGTCTTTTAACCACAGAATCTTCCAGTCCTTGCGCACGATATGTCTCTGCTGTTTCTAGTCTTCCAGGCCACAGAGTCTGCACATTCTTTTCTGTTAGATTTGAACTTAAGTATGTCAGTGCTGGGGCTTCCCCCGGGGCTCAGAGGTAAAGAACCTTCCTGTCAATGCAAGAGCCCTGGGTTTGATCCCAGGATTGGAAAAATGCCCTGGAGGAGAAAATGACACCCTATTCCAGTATCTTTGCCTGGAGAATCCCATGGACAGAGGAGCCTGGCCACAGTCCAGGGAGTCGCTAAGAATCAGACACAACCGAGCAACTAAACACCACCACCATCTTAGTGTTGACCTGGTACTACTGAACCCTTGTTTGCCAACAATTTGCTGAACTCACTTAGTCCTGAGAGCTTTCTGGTGGATTTGTTGCAACTGTCCACACAGACTCTCATGTAGTCTAAGAACAGAGGTAGATCCCCCTCTTCCCCTCTATAACCTAAACGCCTTTTATTTCCTTTTCTTGGCTTATTACTGCACTTACACTTAGTCCGCTCACTATGTCCATGGGCCAGGCTCCTCCCTCATGCAGGAAGGCCCAGGCGGGCAGTCCTGTCTGAGCACAGAAGTTTATCAGATAACATGCTTCACTTCCCGCCTTGCTCATGGATAGCACTTAATCCCACACAGAGAGGTTAATTCCACACACAGAGGCCTGATGTTAAATGCACACCCGGCTCCATTTCGTCAGGTGATTGGTGGTGGAACCCTGGCAGGACTTGGGGCAGAAATGGGGGCATGCAGACAGGGCTCCCGCGCCTGGCAGCGAGGAGGGCGAGCACCAGCCCTTACACCCGTGCCCTCCGCTGGCTCTGCGTTTCAGGAGGACAGGCTGGTACAGAACAGAGCACAGCTGCCTGGCCTCATAAAAGATAATGTCTTCCTCTGAGACATGAGGGAAGGAAAAGGTGACTGATAAACAGAGACACTGTGAATTGGAGAGAAAGCAAACAGGATATTCATTCACAGAGGCTGGAGCTATTAATGACATTGTATACAAAGAAATGTGGACCGGTACTTGTATATAATTAAGTAAGGTAATTTCTCATTGTTGCCTAGACAAACAACACTTTGTGGGGGGAATTCCAGCCTTTTCCACTTCATGACTCCAACAATTAATATCTTAAACCTCATGCAGCAGAGGGAGATGCAGATTAAATCATAACAAGGGAAAAAGACCACAGATGAACTTGAAAATATATCTGCTGTTTATTTGCATATTATAAATCTACCGGTTTAAATTAACACAGCATTCTCAGGTGGCTCAGTGGCAAAGAATCTGCCTGCAATGTAGGAGATGCAAGTTTGATCCCTGGGTTGGGAAGATCTCCTGGAGAAGGAAACAGCAACCCACTCTGGTATTCTTGCCTGGGAAGCTACATGGACAGAGGAGCCTGGTGGGCTACAGTCCACGAGGTCACAAAATAATCCGCACGACTTAGTGACTAAACAACAGCAGTAACACATGCTTAGGGGGAGGAGAAGGGAGGCTGGGTACTTAGCAGATGTAAAATAGTGACGCAAGTAACAAATGATGCTACCCTCATCAGACAGTAATGCTTTGGAGTGACCACGGGTTGTGGTCAAAGTAAAAATAGAAAGAGTAAGAAACAATTTCAATTTCAAGAATAATGAAAAAAAAAAGACTTAAAAAAACAAACCTCAAATTCTGCATTTAATACACAGAAATAAGGACAAGTAATGTTAAAGATAGACATGCATAGATAATAACATATCCAAACGGGATTAAACGAACATGTCTCTCAGTAAGTAGACCCATCTGTGAAAACAATCACGGAATTCCGTTGGCTTTTTAAACCAACGCTCACATAGGTCACATTAATTCTTGGTCAAGCACAGAAGAAAGTGCATTTGCTGTGAGAATGTGCACTGGGCGCTCTCATTCCGAGTCTGCGTTAATCTTACACCTGCTCGTGGCCGTGAGCTCTTTACCTAGAAACCTACCTGCTCGTCCTCCTGGGGACCATCAGGAGGCGAGGACCCAGAGGGACCAGGGCAAGGAGAGAGGGCGGGATTGGCACGGACTGGCCCACCGCTCAGCTCGGACGAGCACCCGGGACACGCGTGCACGGACGCTTACCCACTCGAAGGACAGGATCCAGCAGCCGCGCGCCATGCCCAGCAGCACGCTCAGGGTGCGGCGCGGCCTCCCGGCCAGCACGTGCGTGGTGCTGCCGCACACCTCCCGCGCCACCGAGAAGCCCTTCAGTCTGTTCACGACCTGGATCACCACGCTGTACTTTCTGTGAAGCGGGGAGAAAAATCAACACGCGGTTGGATGTGTTTCCTGTGCATAAACATCAAGGGGATTACAATGAACTAAAATGTAAAAAAAACTAGAAAAAAATGTACACTGACTTCTAAGGTGTTCATTGCCCTGCAATCCATAACTTGAAATCTGGGGGAAATAAATTTCAGATCTCAACTCCAATTGTTTGTTCTAGTGGCTAAGAAAACAGTGGCCTGAAGCTAAAAGCGGTTTCGCCAGGTGCCCAGTGGGGCCTGCCAGCACCCTGCACCAGGCCTCCTCGACACCCAGACCCCATTGTGTGTACTTTTGAGTCAGGTTAGACCTAGTTTTTGCACTGTCGGAACCAACATACTCACTTATTTTATTTTAAAAATAAAACATTTATCAAGAGTCAAACATAGATTTTATAGGTCCTGTTTATTAAAACTTCAGATTAAACCTCAGGGTAAATTTCACAAAGCTCATCACTGTTTATCTTCTGATTTATCATTCCATTAATGCCTTAAGTACCCTTTCTTCTCTTTAACTATTTCTCTTCCCTAACTTTCTTCCCAAATCATTCTCCATATTACTTCTCTTCCTTTTACGGTCACCTTTCTATTATGCCTTTAACTCTGAGATGTTGCTTTTCTCCCTTTCTGCCAGCAGCTTTGGGAAATCCCTGCCAAAACAGGAACACCACGTAGGCTTTCTGAGCCACACTGTGACGCGCACAGTGAGTTAAGAAACTTCTCTTGTCTCCAAAGATTACATTCCAAAGGGACGGAGGCAGTTTGTCCATGATTACGCACACTGTCTCCAACTATCCCCTGCTTATATTATGGCATTTCTCATGATGATCTGGGCTTTGCCAATCACAAGACCCATTTCTTCACTTGTGAAATACAAGGCCTGACCTCTATCCTGGTGAGAATTTTCCAGGGATCCCCAGAGTATAACAGATGGATGAGTCAGGACCAGGCACATCACTTTAACCACAGGATACATGCTTATTGGAGTTGCAGAAAATAAATTGGGGGAGGGGTACAAAATACAAATAAAACAATAGCAAAAAGAAGTGAAAACCTCTAAGCCAGATGCTCTCTTGAAACCTGTTCCTGCATATCTATGATTTTGTCATTCCAAGTCTGGGAGCTTCTAGCTCTTCGCTGGATGTGCTAAGCGATAACAAGGATCTTTGCAAAATATGGCTAATCAATGTGACCTTAGAACATCTAGGTCTTGTTCTTACCTTCCGACAACAAGTATTTGTGGGGCAGGAATGAATCAAAAAGAGATTAAAAATTGCCTAAATGAAGAGTTTGACTTGCAAACCTTCGATTGAGAAAATAACTAGCTATCAGTGTTTTTTTGTTTTTTAAATTTGAGGCAAAAATATAGACTTTTAAAAATGTTAGACCAATATTCAATTATTCATTTCTGTATTAAACTATGTAGGATGACCAACGTATTTCACAAGATGTAAACAGAACTTGTAAGCATGCTCCTTTTTCACTAGATAACATGTGGGTTTTGAATGACTAGTCCTTTTAACTTCATATCACAGGTGGGACGGGATCCCGCCACCCAGAGTCTTGGAAGCATGCACTCTTTCTGCAGCCTGTTTTTCACTGAGATGTCCCAGTGTTTGATGGATATCTTAAAGCCCTAAAACTTCTGATATTTAAAAAAAAAAAAAATTTTTTTTCCTCTTTAAATAAAAATTCAAAAATCTGTTGCAAAGAATAAGGCACGGTATTTTTCTTGGATGTGCAACATTGTGCTAATGTTTAAGGGAGATGATAAGAGTGCGCTAGGGAGCTGTGAATGCTTCCACCAGATGTGTAGACAGCTGCTTCACCACAGAGGTAGAAGGCGTCCCACTAAAGCGTTTCTTTAAGATCTTTAAGGGAAGTGCTTCCACCAGCGAGGCCACAGTGACAGGGCCTGCACGGGGTGGGGGTGGTGGACTCGCAGAGCCGTGCAGTACAAGAAGAGCAGGAAATACTAAAACGCCTCTAGATGCCGTCTAAACCACTGAAAGGTCTTGGGTGCTGAACTGTTCACAGCCTTTTCACCACCTCTCTTATTTCCAGCACTCTTCTGACTCCAGTATTAATTACAGAGAGCAGCACCGACACAGCACAGACGTGAGGGCTGCCCGAGCGCCCAGCACAGTTTATGAACGAAAAGTCCAAACTTTATATCGAGGAGAAAGTTATCAAAACAACGAGTACTTACTCAGATGGCATGCTTGTCATGACTAATGTTCTTGTTGGCTAGGGATGTCAAAAGAGAAGGAACAAAAAACAGTCAAAAATATAAAAAATATTTTTCCCACAGAAATAAACTTTGTTTTCTGAAAAGTTACATCACTTAAAAGTAAACATTTAAGCATATATCAAAGGAAAAAAACTTTATATTCCTGGAAAAAAAAAAAAGTAGCCCAAAAGATAGAAACTCAGATACTATCCCCAAACCAATCCAAAATAATCCAGGACATGAGGTGGAAGAGAAAAAAAAACTTTCCCTCCATAAATTCATCCTACCAGTTGCCTAGTGGGCCTCCACAAGTGCCAAACTGCTAATACGCATCCAAGGAAGGACAGGGTAAGAGAGACGTTTTTCTTGCAGGCTTAGAAACCATTTTTCCTGAGGCTTCCAGGTAACCATATTCTTGGTCTCAGATGTAAGTACACAGTAATGTTCAAGGTTCTGCTACCTGACTCAAGTAGATTCTTTCATCCCTTCCACATAAGAGCACAGATAGTGGAACTGCTTATTTGAGTACTGGCATCTCCTATTAATTGGAACTGCAAATTTTTAAAAATAAAAATTTAAAAATACTTTTTACTTATGCATGCTGCTAGCAAAGAAATGTTTCAGAAATATATAATTAGACATATAAATTTCCCTGTAGTTCCACCAACTAGAAACGACTATTGTTTTATAATTCAATATATATTAGGGTAAATGTTCTTTTGTTAAAAAAAAAATACCTTTATTTATTTACTTTTGTCTGTGCTGGGTCTTCATTGTGGTACTCAGGCTTAGTTGCCATATGTTATGTGGGATCTTAGTTCACCAACCAGGGATCAAACCTACATTTCCTGAATTAAAAGGCAGATTCTTAACCACTGGACCACCAGGGAAGTCCCCGTCAATGTTCTCTTTATTTAAGAAACAAATGTGAATGCACACTATTCTTACACTCGTTCAGGTCATGTGATGGGCCTCAGATGGAACCAGCTGCTCAGTGTAACCTGGAAACCGTCACGGCACACAGAGCAACACCTCGAATGTGCCCATGAATGAACGAGAAGGAGCCAGAGGTGCCTAAAGGACCCGGGGGCATACGGGGCACTCAGGGCCCCTGCCGCATGGGTGCCCTGAGGGACGGTGAAGGAAGAGACAAGCGTGAAAAAGACACCCGGAGGAAGACCTCAGGAACGGCAGATGAGCTAGCCAACAATGGACACCCACCGTCCTGTGCTTTTAGTTTCCCTCCAGAGCATCCTTTGTCAGTTCTCCTCTGTTCTGGATATGAGTGGAACGTGAGCACGGCTCCCTGGCTTAAGCCTGGAGACAAGGCCTTTATGCAGGAATAAGATTCTGGCTTCAGTGTCATCCTAGAATGAGGACTACACAGTCAGCGACATGGCCAATCCCAAGTAAAACCCTGCAGGAGGTCATTCTAAGGCATTTACTTTCTTCTGGTGGACCCATCCAGAAGCAGCCTGTAGGACGTCATTGGTGGGATGCGCTCATTCCTAGAATGAAGGCATGGAGGGGGACAGGCAGAGAAAGCTCTCCTGACTTCTGTATCACCAGGCTTCTCCGTGACTGCACCTCAGGCTGCTTCTCCTTCTTACCTGCACTCACTCCCCGTGAGCCCTCACGTGGCCTCACGCGCTTTCTGCAGAAGCAAAACGCCTACAGCCCCAACTTCACATTTCTAGCTCAGACCCACTCCATGATGCCAAGACTAAGACTCTCCTCCTATCTGACATCTGCATCTGGAGGTCTAGTAAGGATCTCAGATGTGACATGTCCAAAACTGAGCTACTCTTCTTTTCAGGAATTATGCAAATCGCAAAGGAAGAAATCAAACTATCTCTCTTCACAGATGAGAAGATCTTACAGGCAGAAAACTCTATGAAGAAGCCATGAAAAAAGTTAGCACAAATAAATTTAGCAAAGTTGGAGGAAATTAAAAAAGCACAAAACTTATTTGTATTTCTATACCTTAGTAATGAACAATCAGAAAAAAAAAACTAAGAAACCAGTTCCATTTATTAGCATTAAAAAGAATAAAATACTTAGGAATAAATTTAATAAAGATGACACAAGCCTTCTACACTGAAAATTTTTTTAATTGCTAAAAGAAATCAAGGATGACCTAAATAAACAGAAAGACAGCCTGTGTACATGAATTGGAAGACTTAATATTATTGATGACAATACTTGCCATTGCAGATTCAATGCAATCTCTACCAAAATTCCAATGGCAATTTTTGTAGAAATGGAAAAATCCATCCTAAAATCCATATGGAATTTCAAGGAAACACAAATAGCCAAAACAATCTTGAAAAAGAACCGCAAGATGGAGATCTCACACTTCCTGATTTCAAAATTTACTACAAAACTACAGTACTCAAACTGTATAGTACTACATAGGGATAGATGTGAATACCGAATTGAAAGTCTGGAAATAAATCCTCACATCTATGGTAAACTATTTTTGACAAGGTTGACAAGATTGTTCATGGATAGTCTCTTCAACAAATGATGCTGAGAGAACTGGATAACCACATATGAAATAATAAAACTGGATCTTTATCTTACACTATAGAAAAAAATTAACTCAAAATGGCTCTAATTTGAGAGCAGAAGCTATAAAACTCTTGGAAGAAAACATAGGGAAAAATATTCATGATACTGGTTCCTTAAATTAAGGCACCAAAAGCACAAGCAAAAAAGATAATTAAATAAATTGGACTTCATCAAAATTAACAACTATTTTTGGCATCAGAAAACATGATCAAGAGTGAAAAGATAACCCCAAAAATGGGAGAAAATGTGTGCTAATCATACATTTGACAAGCTTTTGACATCCAGAATATATAAGAACTCCTACAACTCAACAAAAAAAGGACAACTCATTTTAAATATGGGCAAATAACTTGAACAGACATTTCTCCAAAGAAAATAAACAAATGGCCCACAGCACATGAAAATATGCTCTAAACCACTAGTCATTTGGGAAATTCAAATGAGATACCAGACCTAATGAGACACCGCTTTATAGAATGGTTACAACAACAAAAATCCACCAAACAGCACGTGTTGATGAGGGTTTGTGCTGGAAGCCTCATGCCTTCTGGCTGGAATATAAAATGATGCAGCCCAGTGGGAAACATCTGGTGGCCCCTCAAAAAGTGAAACACAGAACTACCACAGGACCAGCAAACTTACTCCTGGCATATATCAAAATGAACTGAAAAACAAGGACTCATATACTGTATGTGAATTTTCACAAGAGCCAAAAGGTGAAAACAACCCATGTCCATCAGCAGATAAAAGGATAGATAAAATTTGGAATATACATACAATAGAATATTATTCATCCATTAAAATGAACGAAGTTCTCATATATACAACATGGATGACTCTTGAAAATATGCTAAGAGGAAAAAAAGCTAGATATAAAAGGATACATACTATATAATTCTATTTACAAAATATCTAGAAAAAGTAAGCTTGTAGAGACAGAAGTAGACCAGAAGTTACTGGGGGCAGCAGCGAAAAGATGCATGCAACCCAATGTTCACTGGAGCACTGTTTACAATAGCCAGGGCATGGAAGCAACCTAAATGTCCACAGACAGAGGAATGGATAAAGATGTGGTACACACATACAGTGGAATAATACTCCTTCATTAAAAAAGAATGAAATCATGCCGTTTGCAGCAACCTGGATGAATCTAGAGAGTGTCAGATTGAGTGAAGTCAGTCAGACAGAGGAGGAGAAATATCCATATGACATCACTTATACGTGGAATCCAAAAAGAAACTATAGAACTGAACTTACAAAACAGAGAGACTCACAGACTTGGAAAACGAACTTAGGGTTTCCGGGGCAGGGAGGAACAGTCTGGGACTTCGGGTAGGTCAGGCACACTCTGCTACATTTAAAATGGACAAGTGGCAAGGGCCTACTGTACGCACAGAGGACTCAGCTAGTGTTAGGTGGCAGCCTGGGCGGGAGAGGGGTTTGGGGCAGACGGACACCTGTGTGTGTCTGGCTGAGCCTTTGTGTTCACCTGAAACTATCACAATGCTGTTAACTGTCTATACTCCAATACAAAAGGTTTTTGGTGTTTTAAAAAAAAAGAAAGAAAGAAGAACTTGCCAGGGGACGGGGTGAGGTGGGAACCAGGGGTTATTAAAAACCCTTCTCTGAAAGGTTTTTGGGGAGCTAGGGTCTTTCAAGCGTATTCTTATTGAGTCCTGAGAGAGAGAGACACTGTATTTTCCTTCACCACAACCTCGTATCAGTAAACTGGCTCTACTACACTGTGGGGGAGCAAACACAAATTTGATTTGGGAACGTATGGACAATTCTTTCACTTTTCCTCTATTTGAAAATCTTCATAAGAGAAAGTTTTAACTGCTATTCAGGTGAACATTCTGTGAACTGGCAAGGCATATAACCACCACTGCAAAAACAACTCAGAGGGTCAAGTATCAACTTACCCTTACAGCGCCTGAAGCGCAGCACGCATTCAGCATGCTCTGCTGAGCAGAATAAAAGCTCTGTGCACAGAAGTCAAGGTATTCTTCCTCCTCTTAGAATGCTATCACTACCGGAAAATACCTTCTACCAGGCAATTATACAGAAAGAATATATGAAGCATAAAAGAAACAATCAGATGCTAGGAGACCCAGAAGAAGCCTGCAATTCCAATTCAGTACGTCTTCTTGCAGCTCACGTGTTTGTGACTTCGTATCTGATGGCCACATGGCCTTTCCTTACCTCATGCGTCTCATCTAAGAAACCAGATAATGAGGTTCTCCCACAACGCCAAGTGATTAATTACTCTGCTGAAAGCAGATATTAATCCTAGCAGTTTTGTAAACTATAACCTTCACAGTATGTGATTTCATGGGAATACATTTCCTAACTTGGTCATTTATCTATGTAACCTTTGCTACATGTCACCTTTCAATGAAAGTAATAAAAACGGGGAGAAAGTTCAGCCGCTTTCTTCTCTCTCAAT